TTACCCGTATTACGGCCACCCAGTTTTCGGTGGCCCGTAGATGGACGGGGTTCCACTGTAGATTCCAGCTGGGCCCGGTTGTTCAAAAGCCAATTAAGGCTAATCCTGGATTAAAAGTCCATTGAGGTTTTAATTTCTCTTGTTTCCTCGCGTAGCGGGGTTTATAATTCTGTCCCCAAAAAGCTCACTCGGGAGCAAATCTCGTGTGACCTTTACATTGATATTTATTTATTTATTTATTTGTTTGTTTGTGGAGTTGGGGGATGGCATGACGTCACACGGCGCGCTCATGGCCTAACGGCTTAAGACGAAATCCATTTAACAAATAGATTCCATGTTGCCGTGCGTCTGTTCAGTAATAGATCACAGATGACGTCAAAATGTGGTAAGAACAAAAAAGTGGACAACGAGCCGCTGCGGCGAGTTGGTCACTGATGTTCTTACCACATTTTGACGTCTTCTGTGATCTATTACTGAACAGACCCACGGCAACATGGAATCTATTTGTTTTATATAATTTTGGAGATATTCGCTTCGCTTTCACTTGAATGTAAGCTTACGCTAAATAAGCCGATAAAAATTATGTCAACAACATCGAGTTTAGGCCACAGTGTTTTCATGCACTCAAATAAACTTTGTGAAAACTAAACGGCTTAAAATAAACTACAGCTCAACTCAGCAAATGTTTCGAAAAGCAAATGTTTAGAGACTAACCTGATATGAGGAAAAACAATCTGAATTATTCCAGTCCAAATCCCGTTGCAAGTCGCTTCACCGCGAACAAATATCCCGCTAAATGTCTCGGATTCTGTTTACAATGAGCTATAAAAGTCCATCATATTTTCCTCCAAGTTCTAGCCAAGCTTGAACAGCCGATTTAAAATTCGTATCAATTGAAGTACATGGAATTTCCTACGGAATATTTCCAGTTTGACGAAAATATTTCTCTGTTTTGAGCGAAGGATTTGTTGAGCAGGCAGGGCGCCCGCGCGTTTTCCCGCTTCGTGACGTCATTCGTGCGTCTGTACTCCAATAGATGACAGTTCTAAACCAATCACAGCGCGAGTTTTACACAGTAAATTATATAATAGAAAATCGAGTAATATTTCTGGCCAGTGGACAAAAATCCTGTACTACGACGCCATAAACTTTCACGCTTAAACTAGACATTCATGAGCCATACCTTAACGGTATTCACCAAATAATATAACTCCACAATCCTTAAATGCTTTCCGCCTTGAGTTTCCTCCCGTGAATGGGTTGAGTCATGAGGGGTGGCAGCCATGTTTAACAAAAAATGTTTTTTTACTGCTGATGTTCGCAGAGATTGAGATTACTCAAAGTCAAACTTGAAGGACAATAAATATAAACAGAAAACCTCACTGAAAAGTTACAAAACTGAAATCAATATTAACGCTCTGACCCTGGATTAGCTTAATCGTCCTCTGAAATGGCTGGAAATACTTCTAAAATTGACGAGCGTGGTGTAACTTACAAACTTTTAGCGCTTGAAAAGCGATGTTTTTAATACAAGAATCAACAGAAAAAGAGAGTTGTCCACTTTTCGAAATGTAAGCAGAATTTTTTGTAGATCTTTTTCTCCAACATCCAGAAGCCCTTCTTGTTCATATTACCATATGCGCTTATTTGTTGATTGTCACCACAAGATTGAATGTTACAGTGTCCAGAGCTGTTTAAAGTATGGCGCCGGATAAAAAGTTGCCATAAAAAATGTTTCTCCACAAAACGCGCAATACAACTGCTCAATAATGGTCACTAAGTGTAGGCAGGGGCAAAAGACCCATGTATGGGGGGGGGGGGGGGGGGATGCTTCTCTTAGATCATCCTCTCTTCAGTGTTTATAAGTAATAAAACTATTTATTTTTAGTTTAGAAGAGTTCGTTCATAGATAAAACACAATACTCGGTCGTGTTGTACTCATGTTCGCCTTCTTTTTTGGTTTCAGATCCAGTTCAATTTCTTCCTTATTGCCTGTCTGCCAAAACAATTGTTGTAAATAGTTTTAGTCAAATCGTTCAATGTATCTCCTTTTTGTAAACAATTTTTAATGTAAATATTTTCGAAAATAAAATTGTTCTAAAACCTTAAATAATGCTTGAAGAGTTCTGTATTTTTGCAAATGTCAGTCATTTCTTGGATAGCAAAATGATTCTGTATTTTTGAAACTCTTTAATTTAATCGTGTAATTTACTTCGTTTAACTGAAAACTTCAAAATAATATATAATTTAAGAAAATTGATAGTAGTACGCACTGTATGATAGCGTTATAATATACTCAACAAAATATGCAGCTTCTGATTGGTCAATGACGAATGCCTAAATAGGTTATAGAGTGCAATACGGAATTGCGATAAACGGTACCGGACAAGAAGAGACGTTTTTGTTTCCCTGCGCGTTCAAATAAAACATGTGAGCACTTTGGAAACTAGTGAAGCGTTTCGTGTGCAGAGTAGCGTGATGGCCGCAGCAAAATTTTGTTGAGAATATTATAAACAAAAAAATCGCACGAACTGCTCGTGCAATTAGTGATTTATGGTCACTCGTGATGTTTTGAAAGTTCTCAAATTGCACTCGCCTAAAGGCTCGTGCAATTTTGAGACTTTCAAAACATCACTCGTGCCCATAAATCACGAATTGCATTCGCGTTCATACGATTTCCTATACAAAGACTAAGACCACTGTGATGCGATGACGTCACTTTTCTGCGAGGTCATCAAGCTGATTTCAAACAACAGAAACAAAACAAGTTACAAGACCGGTTTGTTGTCATCATTTACAAATGTTTATTAAATACATTTTTAAACATAATTCAAAATTGAGAAGGTTAAAAGGTAAATTCATTATTGAGAAAACTAATCGAAGCTTACAATATAACAGACCGTGAAAGTGAAATTGATAACCTTGTTCCCAGGTTGGCTAGTTCCTTACCAGATCAAATTGGAATTTAGAAATGCTGGGAAAGAAAATCATACAGGAACTAGGCGTTGAAAGACAAGTACTCTCTCTTTCACGTCTCAAAACTCTATAATTACGAGGACAAAACCAGGGCCATCCAACACTGCAATCTGCCAGAATTAGTTGGTTCTAGGGCCAATCATCTTTTGCTTATTGTGACACTAACTCAAACTGTTCTAACCTAATTAAGAGCGAATGTCAGGCAAATATCAATCAAACTCTTGGAGAATATAGAGTTCAGGCTTCAAATTTAGCCATTGTAAAAACATTTTCCTTATTTTTCTTGAAAGAAAAGGGCTTCTGGCGGAAACAAACTTCATCAGGTTTTGTTTACCTAATAGCTATTTATGAGCAAAAAAATCGAAAAAAAAAAATTCGATTTTCAACTTCTTCGCTCAATGCTTGATATTTACTGACATTCGCTCTTAAATGCTTGTAAAACAACCAGCGAGAAGAGTTTCCGATCGTTATTGTCTAATCAGAAATCACCAGAGCAGTCGTTAAAGGGGCAGTATCATGGGGATTTGATGTCATTTCAAAAACCAAAAAACGTTTTTGTATTAACAGAAACCTAAAATAATGGTCAAATTTTGATATAAATTACCATCCTAGAGTACTAAAACTGTCAATAAGTGTCTGGCCATAGATGGACTGGGTCGGAATGGATAATTGCAACTTGAAAAAGTTAGGCTAACTTTTTTCAAGTTCTCGCATTTTCGTTGCACTAGAACAGAACAGATCATAATTTGTTCCTCTTTCAAGAATTTGGTTGATTTCTTTCTCTTGATGATGTACAATTATTTTGTAAATAAGTAAAGGCAATGAAGCACAGTTTTGACCAAAAAAGGTCAAAATCCCCGTGATACTGCCCCTTTAAGTCAGTTTGGCGTCACCACTTTGCGTCATCCCCGTCGGATACCGGTTGTCCCCTGCCCCGTCCAATCCCCGACTGTAGAAGTGTGGGTGGCCCCAGTTGGTGCATTTACAAAGAAAGTTAAACTTATAAAAGTCCTCACTACAACATACCCTGTACCCTGTACACGCCAAACGTTTACATACGGAACGCAAGTTAAAAAAGAGAAGGCGTTTTGCGCATCACTTCCGGTCGTCGTTTTTGCGGCGACCGGAAGTGGAGCGCGAAACAACGTCTGTCTACTCAGGCAAGACGTTTATCGAATTGAAAGTACTAGTTGTTGGGGTGGGAGGGGGGGGGGGGGGGGGGTGGGGATGGCAGGGCCCCCACCTTAGAAAATGAAACCGCAAGCGAGAACATAAAAATTGTCGCTCCAAGTTTTCTGTCAAATGATAGTAAATAAGTAAGTAAGTAAGTAAGTAAATATATTATTTAGGCAGGGTGGCCCATTCAGCTCTAGGCTGGTATCCATAGGGGCCCTGTTTTAAAATCTGTAATTGGCGTGAACAGGGTACTGGTCTAATATAACTATCTATAATCTGCAAGCTGGCAATTCAAAAACATGTGAATGTTGCTAGGCTTGATGTTCTTCATTGCTTCTTTTTGTTGTCGGCCATGATGCCGTCACCGTGATTGTTTATTTCAGCTTTCTCCTCCTCTGGACCAGACAGCTCGTCATCACTGCGTGCATCTCTTTCCACCTGACAGAATCAACAAGTAACAAGTTTCAATAGAGTGGTTTTCAATCGAGTGTAGTAAGTAATCACTCTGGCCAATCACAACAGATGAAAACAACACAAGGAACCAATCAGAACTCAAAGCAGATGCACGTAACCGGGAAAACGCGCATTATCAAGCCACGATTGGTTTTAGTTTGACATCTGAATGGTTAAGAGGCGCAAGTTTTTCGAACCATTCAGAGAGCGTAGTAAAGCAAAACCGAAGCAAACGCATGTTCACTTTCGATACTTAATTGAAAACTGCTCTAAGAGTGAGTGTGTAGATTACTGGTATTATTAAGACAAGAAGTGGAGATGGATCGAGCATGTGCACGGACTAGATTTAGTACTGTGTAGCATTGAATTGGACACCAGTAGGATAGAGGATGGGGGATGCCATGGCCTAATGGTTTGCGCGTTGGACTCCGGATCGAGCGGTCCGGGTTCGAGCCCTGGCCTGGGTCATTGTGTTGTGTTCTTGGGAAAGACACTTAACTCTCACAGAGCCTCTCTCCACCCAGGAGTATAAATGGGTACTGGCGACAAAATGCTGGGGGTAACCTGGGATGGACTAGCATCCCATCCAGGGGGAGTAGCAATGCTCCCAGTCAGCTTCATGCTAAGGAAACCGGGATAAGCTCCAGCAGTGTGGGCCAGTTTGGCCCGAGTGCAGTTTTACCCAGGATCAGAAGGCACAGAAAAGGGGATGTAAAAAACCCAGGACGTTGTATTAGTGTACTGAGGTTTGACTGTATTATCTGGGATGTAGTGCCCCAAGAAACAACGCACCGTTCCTTTTATGATGAACTGCACTGCGACCTCGGAAATCTTGTAAGACCAATACAGGTGAAGAACCTAAAAATAATCGTAAAACAATGTTAAAACAACTATTGAAGGGAAAAACGTTTTTACATGCGAAGACATACTTTTCCACCAATCACAAACTAGTGCCAGTACTTCTGGGTAGTCACACTTTTCTACATAAGATTAAGATTAAGTAAAGTTACTTAAAAAAATTCTGTAACTCTGTTAAACCTATTCGAAAATGAATTCCCCTATCGACTTCACTTTGTGGTTGTCTAGTTGCATGGAAGTAGAGAAGAGCTGTGATTCAAGTGAGTTTTGGACTGTGCTCGAAATGTTTGCGAAAACACTTGCCTCCCTTATTTGTAATTTATATAAAAGCACCCCCCTGGAAAAAAAGATGCGCAAGAAAATAAATGTAAGTTTGCATAAGAGAATACAAGTGAAAACCTGGTAAACGATTCATTTCTTTATTCCTTTTTTTCACCCTCCTCAATTGAACTTTAGTAGAACCTTGCTAACTCGAACTCCCAAGGGAAGCAAAAAAACAGTTCGAGATAGCGGGGGTTCGACTGAAAAACAAGGGCAAGGGGAATGGGTTTGAGTTCGAGATAGCGGGGTGTTTGAGTTAACCGAGTTCGAGTTAGCAAGGTTCTACTGTATTGTATATTCCCTATGATACAGCCCTGGTATTTCAGTCTACCCAGGAGACTAAGTAATATAAATGGCTTACCTGCAAACATACCAACAATCCCATAAACCAGGACCATGCTTTAAAAAGGCCACAATAACTCTGACAGTGGTACACCGCATGCTCCACCCTGTGTCAAGATATATTAGCAACATATTTATGCTTACTTAAGGTAATTCCTTCGAAATAAAAGTTACACTGAAAAGTTTCTGAAACTTTCCCTAGTTGAACAATGCGATGTAATATTTCAAAATATTGAATAAAAAGAATAGGTCACCAGCCTCGCGAAAGAGATATAATCGACTAAAAATACCTCCTAATTCCTTACAAAATCAACCAAAAACACGTATTTTTTCACGTTTCCAGTGATTATTAATTTTTCTGCACTGAGAATTGGTCTATAGAGCGTTTTCACTCACGTGACCTTTGGGCTATATCGTCATGGCAACCGGTTTTAGCCGCCATATTGGTGTTCCATCGTGACAATGTTTATACTACGCATAGTACATATTTTACGGGTTTTGGACGACTTGTGTATTCAGCTTACAAACCAAAGCAGTTTTATCGTATGGTGTTTTGTCTCCTGACAATCTCTGGCCAAAAAACTGTATGAAGGCATCCAAATCTCTGAAAAATTGAGCTTTTCCCTGTTTTAAGTGTGGTGACAAAGAAGGGAACTTTACGTCTGAGCGAAGAAGAAAATAGATCTCTAGCTGATTATTCAAGACGACTGTGCTGATGAAATTTTAGGAAACTACACACTACAGCAAAATATTTTTAGTCTTTTCACATGACATAACAGACGAATGGTCAGCAAAACTTACGGCGAGCGGCCGCTTTGTAAAACAGACAACTTTTTGATATACATAGTCGAACAATCGTAATTTCCGATAAAACTTTGAATAAACGGTCGCTATATAGAAGAAAAATACTTCAAATGTTTAACTGTAATTTGATTTTCTTGCTGTAAAAAAGCCTACTTGTAAGAAGAGAACTTGAACACAAATTCTCAGTACCTCACGCAATATTTTTGTCAGCAATGAAATAACTTATAAACACAAAGATCCTTCTTTTACAAATTCTGTTGGAGTGGAATACTCCAAAATTTAATGTTCGGATAAAAGAAATGTTCCCTATTTTGTGGAAATGATAGTGTGGAAAGCTTAGTCATAAACTTGATAAATGCTGCGAAAGTAAATTTCAACCGGCTTGATGTTGACATATTTCATGAACAACTGACTTTGAAAGCAAGGGCAAATTCCTTTCGTAAAACGAACAAGTACGCTCAATAAAGACAAATCGGTGACTTCTAAAATACGGTTTAATGTTATCGTACCTTTTCCCTTGAATTGAGACAGGATCGATGCCAACACATGAAATATTTTCGGAGTTATGGTCGTAACAATTGTTCACGCGAAGATCGAGATACTCCGAGGACATTTCCATCCCAATTTCATTCTGTTTGGCCATAATTTGAATTTCTACAACCTCAAGAAGCAGCCCAAGACTTCAATAACATCTCCAAACTTTAAAATGTTCTGAATATAAAGGCATTCGTTGCACAATTTAACTCTGTGTTGTCAAGTTCTAGTAGACTCTTGACCTACGATTCCGGAGATGAAACACCAATATGGCGGATGTAACTTTCCCGCCAAACCGCGACGTCACGTGCAAACGCTCTATACTCCTTGTATAGAAAGAAGATGATTACTAGACTTAAATTTGCGAAAAAAAATGATAGGTCCCCACGCTCGTTTACGAGAAAACGATCATTTACCTCTCTGGCGAGCATTGCCACAAAGAAAAAGCCGCCATGTTTTTAATGTGCGCGCGCTAATTACGCGCAAATTATGCGCAGAAAGGATGCGCAATGCAATACTAAGGAATCACCTTAATTCATAATGGAGCTTGAGAGACACGGTGGCCCAACGGTTAGCGCGTTTGTCTCTGGATCGAGCGCTGGCCAGGGTCACTGTGTTGGGTTCTTGGGCAAGACACTTAACTCACACATTGCCTCTCTCCACCCAGGAGTATAAATGAGTACCGGTCAACTGTTAGGACAACCTGACAAAATGCTGAGTGGTTACCTCCCCACCCAGGGGAGTAGCGATACTCCTAGTCACTTCATGCTATGGAAACTGGAGTTAAGTGCCGGCCTGATAAGCCAATAGGCTTGTAGACAAATTTTGTGAACCATGATGCTTACAAGTAAGGAATGTAAACCAACATTAGACTTACCAGAATGGATAATAAATGAGCTTGAAGAATTGAATACCACAGCAAATAACACAAAAATTGTGTTGGTTGTTGCTTCCCATTTGGCATAATTGAATACTTTTGCTGACTGCAAATAACAATAATGTTACATTGAGTAAATTTTATATGATGCAAAATATGTTAGTAACAATGTTAACAAGTTGACATATTTTTAACCAATGGATCTGGGGAGTAGCATACTGCTAGTCACTTCATGCTACAGGAACCAGGATGGACTAGCATCCCATCCAGGGGAGTAACAACACTCCTAGTCACTTCATGCTACAGAAACCAGGATGGACTAGCATCCCATCTAGGGGAGTAACAACACTCCTAGTCACTTCATGCTACAGAAACCAGGATGGACTAGCATCCCATCCAGGGGAGTAGCAATACTCCTAGTCACTTGAAAAGGTCCGGCAAAGGTACATGTAAACCATGTTCCATTACAATCAAAAAGAAAAACTTAGACAAAACTCACCTCAAGTAAAATGTCTGACAAGTCATGTAGTAGTATTATAACAGAACCAATACGGAAGAAACCAGTATAGTAGGAAAATGTCGTCAACATGATTGTGACAATGTGATGAACCACCATTTGCCAAAAGTCCTAAAAAAACAAAAACATTATTAGCCCTGGAGCAACCATAACCTCTAATGTATCATGTAGAATTTGAAAAGTGGGCATCCTGGAGGCATGTCCCCCCATAAATTTGTTAAAGCTTTGGTGCATTTTTTATCATTTTCTCCCAGTATTGGGCGTCCACAGGACACACAGACACCCTTCTGGCTACAAGCTTGATGCAGGGTTCAAATTTAACAGGGGAATAGGGGCAAAGATCAATCACCCTTTTGTGCTGAACACAAAGATAGATAAGATGCAATCATAAGTATTGTGCTCAACATAGAAATCATACAGACCTTTCTCTTGACATCCACAACCAAGGAAATAAGTAGAGACAAGTAAAAGCCTGTTTCAATCAGGTAATAGTAAAATATTTCATCTGAGATAGGCTGATGAAAGAAAAGAGAGGAAAAAAGTTGAGTTTAACAAGTTTGGCAATGTTTTGTTGGATTGTAATCATATTGTGAATAGACCTAAAACGACCTGGAGGAGGACAGTGGAAGTAGAGAGATGGCAGGCAGGATGGAATAACTGGAGCACTGCGAGAAAAGTAGCCAGGGACAGGGTGGCGTGGAAGCACAATGTTGAGACCTTATGCGCCTAGAGCAATGATGGTAATGATGATTACCGTAAATGCTTTATTAAGCCCCGGGGGGCTTATTTAATTTCAGGCCTCAAGAAGGGAGGGGGGGGGGGGGGGGCTTATGAGAGAGGGGGGCTTAATAGAGAGGGGAGGATTATTTCAAATCATAAATGTTCAAGAAAAGTCACATTAATTCTCCAACTGTACTATTACATTACTAACTAAAACAGAACAAGAAATAGGGCATGTATAGACCAAATGCAAAAATGGCTGCCAATTTAAAATTATTTGGTATGCATTCAAATGAGCCTTTCTTAAAATTAGCGTTTCTTAAAATCCAGCGGTGCTGTATAGCGTTGACTGACAATCGCGTCGCAGAAATGGCGGATAGAAATCACTATTTGTAGGTAGACAGACTTTGTTGAAGTGATTTGACCCATATTTCTAGCGACGAAAGCAAAGCAAGAGCAATAGTTTTTCAACTTTAATTTTTAAATTATATTTTA